GCGCACTTCTGCTCCATCCCCGCCGCACGAGCCCCGGGCCGCCTCCGCCACCGCCAAACCACTCCCACCTGGGCCCCGCGGTGACACGGCCACCCCCGGCTTCCCTCTCCCAGCGCTCAGCGCCGCAGAGCCCCGGCCCAGGGCGGCCTCTGCTGGACGCTTAGGACGGGAGCCCCAGCTTCAAGCGCGTTCAGCAAATGCTGGGCTGGGCGCGCTTCCCGGTGCGCCAGGAACAGAGGATGCGTGGTGCATGGACAGATTTCTGTCCTTAGGTCTCTCTCCCTCTCCCCCCCCTCTCCTCCTTCCCTTTCTCTTCCACCTCCCCTCTCCTCCTTCCCTTTCTCTTCCACCTCTCCCTCTCCTTCCCCTCCCCCTCTTTCCCCTTTCTCTTCCTCTTCCCCTCCCTCTCCTCCCTTTTCCCCTCCCTCTCTTCCTTTTTCCTTCTCCCTTTTCTCTGTCTCCCTCCCTTCCCACCTTTCTCCCTCCCCCTCCCTTTTTCTTCTCCCCCTCCCTCCTCTCCTCTCCCCTCTCCTCATTTCCTTTCTCCCTCTTTTCCCCTCTCCCCCTCCCCATACTCTCTCCCTGTCTCCCCCCCCCCCTACAGTATTTAAAGAGAGAGTGGCTCTTTCTTTCCAATTATAAGGGCCTTTGATTCCAATTCCCAGACATTCTTGTCATGTACATTAAACCTTACCCACATTGAACTCCACTGAACTTCCTGGCACCAGAGCCAGAATGTCTGCTGCCCTATTCAGGATCTTACCAGAAGAAAATACCTGGGGAAGGTAGCACTGCTCCCGAGGGCTGAGCTGAGCCAGGCTACACATCACTACTTCTAATAAATCCATGGCGGCCTAGGCATACAAATGATTTCGAGCTCAGTGGCAAAGCACTTACCTAGTAAGTGCAACCTCCTGGGTTTGGATCCCAGTGCCAAAAAAGAAAACAACAACAAACAAGAATTATTTCATTTCATCGGTGAGAAAATGAAGAGCTAGAGAGAAGGTGAAAGTCACGATCATATGACCACAGCTGGTAAGCTTATACATTAAGTCTGTAATAACAAAGGCCCACCTCAGCCCTGTGATTCCTGCATGCTACAGACTAGGCTGCAGAGCTATTTCGGGATTAACAAAGCCATTGACTTCCCACAACAATCCTTTGAGGATTTTATTATGATATTTATATGTGTTTATTATATGCATTATATTTTATTGTTATATCCTCATTTTCAGGGTAGGAAATGGAGCACAGAGAGGTGTTAGTACTTGTCCAGGTCACACAGCTAGTAAATGGTAATAGGATGCATGCATAAGCACCTTGGTATATGAGCCCAAGGCTTCTTCACCTTGCAGATCCACTTATTTCCCCACCTTTATTCACTGATTTTCCCACTTACTCACTTATTTTTCCACCCTTCCCCAGCACCTTGGCCTTGTTTAGTTTTCTCCCTTCAGTCCACTCAGACCCTAGATCCTCTCTCCATACCTGCTCTTATGAGCCCGGTGGTTCCTGAGTCACTGGAGCTGAGAATTGAGGAAATTGGCTAGTTCCTGAATTGCTTAACATCATTAGTAGCTCTGGAGTGCAACCCCCCCACCCCAGCTTCTTCTTTTTTAAAATATTATTCTCTTCAAATAAGTAATTGTAGGAAGGAGTTTCAGTTCAACATGTCAGTTCGTGAGTGCAATGCGTCTTGATTGTCACCCCTTCAATCAGGCCTCCCGTCTCTCCATTCCCCTCAGTCCCCCTAGTTCCAAGTTCACATATTCATTCTGAATTAGATAGATAGATAGATAGATGGATAGATAGATAGATGGATAGATAGATAGATGGATAGATAGATAGATGGATAGATAGATAGATAGATGGATGGATGGATGGATGGATGGATAGATAGATGGATGGATGGATGGATAGATAGATAGATGGATGGATGGATGGATAGATAGATGGATGGATGGATGGATGGATGGTTAGGCAGACAGATAGACAGACAGATAGATATCTTTATTGTAAATGGGATGTACAGAGGAGTTCCAGTTACATGAGTAATGACTTTTTGAACAGTGTCTTTCCTTTCTTGGCTCTCTCAGTTTTTCCCTCCTGTCCCCACCCACAAGTTGTATAGTTCATTTCTATGATTGCATTCTCCTACCCTTCCTCTTTTTGTTCTGCTACTCCTTCTCTTGGACCTCTCCAGCTTCCTGACATTGGTTTTGTTAGATGATAAGTTAGTTGTTCAGATGTTTCTTCCTCAGGTACCAGAGGCTCTTTTCTCTTTCTGTATGGGTTCATTGTTTTGGCCCATCGGTGACCAAGATGAAATCTCTGGCAGGCTTTGCCATGGCCATTGCAGATCTTGCTCATACTTCCTCAACCGGATTAAATCTGGTTCATATTTTCCTTTGATTTTTGTAAATCTATTGATTCCTGTTGGCATGAGAACTAAAAGATGTCATAAGCAAGTCCTCCAGCCTACCGCTACCCGACCCCCCCCCCCCCCCCCCAGCCTTGGCCAGAGAAACTGAAAATTCAATTTGCTAAACATGTTTTCCCAATGCTTTGACCTCACAGCCCTTCTGGTTTCTAGTGTAATCTACTCGATTATGAAAAATAAGTACATCTGGATGTTGGTTGTCTCGGAGGCAGATAGAGCATTGCTGGGACATCCACCCATGGAGGCCCCAGTGCCTTTAAAGAGCGTGATTCAAGTAAGTGACTCTGTGGCACATAGAAAGGGTTTGAAAATTAATGCACAGAAAAACTTACTCAATTGAAATTCAACAAAACTTGGAGTCCCTCTGGAGTGCAAAACATGTGCAACTCTTTAATATCAAAGACGATGTTTGGTACTGCACGGAGGATCATCCCTACATCCCAATCAGCTAACATTTTCAAGACTCTCCGCTGTATACAGAATCAAGTTGAGGTAGTTTCTTTAAATAAAATAATTCATTATCATTGCTGATTGAACTTGCAAATTCAGTAAGTTAGTTCAAGCCTAGTTGATTATTTGTTCCAAAACTTGTGACAGGCTATGGGGAATATAATGACGATAATGTCCAAGGAACCTAGATTATGTTGCTATAACAAACTCATTCAAAATCTCTGAGCTTAGGCAATGGCAGTTTATTTATCCCCATGGATTGTTATTATTATCATTATTATTAGTCTCCAACAGATCTAAACTATATTTCCAATAGCCATGTTCTATGTTAGGACTCAGTACCATTTTATTGAATCAGCTTGTAGATAAGGGAAGATGGAGGAGGGTAATGAAGTGCAGCATTAAAATCTTACTAAAGCTCCCAGCACAACCATGTTTATTGCAGCATTATTTACCATAGCTAAGATATGGAACCAACCCAGATGCCCCTCAGTAGATGAATGGATCAAGAAAATGTGGTATATATACACAATGGAATTCTATGCCTCCATCAGAAAGAATGACATTGCCCCATTTGTAAGGAAATGGAAAGACTTGGAAAAAACCATATTAAGTGAAGTAAGCCAGGCCCAAAGAAACATAGGTCCCATGGTTTCCCTGATTTGCAATAAATAGTATACCTATAATCTTAGCAGATCAGCAGAATAGCTCAATAGCTATGCACATATGACCATATAAGATGAGGCTAAGCAAAATGAACTCCAAGACATGGACACAAGAGGTTTTTCTTTGTTGTTGTTTTTAAGGTTCTATGTGATTTTTTTGTTTCTTTTGTATGTTCTTCCCCCTGTGATATATCACTGTATTTGATTTTGGTACCCTGGTATTGTATATGTGAAGGGAATGGAAGGGGAACAAAAGAATGGCAAGATAAAGGACCAGGAGGAACCAATGCAACAGCAATACTCACAAGACAATATGTGGGAAATGATCTGTACAACTTGGAGAGAGGGGTTGGGTGGGGAGGGAAAATGGGAGAAAAATGAGGGAAGGTAACAAGTTCAATAAGCAATGTACTTATTGCCTTACTCACGTAACTGTACCCCTCTGTACATCACCTTGACAATAAAAAAAATCTTATATCTGGAAGTGATGCTTTCATTTACCTGCAAGTGTTTGTACTTCATAGCATTTTATTATTATTTTATTGGCTATGCTAAATCTGAAGGAAGGAACAGAGCTCAATCTGGTGTGCCCTAGGGAGAAGAAAAATAGAGGACAGGGAACAATTTTGACATGCGCCATAGCGATTTTTTTCTGCCATCAGGTGGCTTCTATTTGAGAAGCTTCTATTTGAGAGTCAAACAATAAATGCACATTCACCAATATATATATATATAATAATTTATTATGCATATGCTACACGTATTGTTTCAAGTATTATATATATGTGGTATATATATAGTACAATTATGCATATTATATCAACATATTCATTAGACTTATACATTGTGTAATAATTATATATTATATATACATTCATTTATTGAAGCTTTACACTGTATGAGGTAGATACTGAAGAATATGCCACTCCCAAATATACCTCTTTAGCATAGGATTATTTTGAGAAACAGTACTTGGAGGAGAAGCTCTGAGAATAGAATAGAAATTACCTTTCTATAAGAATTTACATGCATAAAGGAAACGTCCATTTGTAAGGTGGTCTCCTGAGTATTAAGAAAGAGAAGGACCTGGGTGTTGGTGGCTCATGCCTATCATCCTAGCTGCTCAGGAGGCTAGGATCTGAGGACTGAGGTTCAAAGCCAGCCCAGGCAGGAAAGTCCTTGAGACTCTTATCTCCAATTAATCACCAGAAAATGGAAGTGGCACTGTGGCTCAAAGTGGTAGAGCACTAGCCTTGAGCAAAAGAGCCCAGGGCCTGAGTCCAAGCCCCATGACTGTCAAAGAGTAAGTGAGTGAGTGTCTGAGAGAGAGAGAGAGAGACAGAGAGAGAGAGAGAGAGAGAGACAG